CGAGTATTTCGTACTTCAATTTTATGGCTTTCCGTCACTCACAAGTTAGTTTGATGTTACGTACATTATTAACATTACAGAATCCACATATTCCTGCCAGTTTTAATATGTATTTTGTAATCAACAAGTGTGTAACACCGGTCAAAGTTTGACACTTCTCTGGCCATTATCTCCGTAACCGTTCAACTTTGGACATAGGTGTTTTGGGTTGTATCGGCATACTTTAACATAAGGAACACCCTCCCGAAGTTTGGTCCATTCCTCCTGGGACACCCTGTATATGTGCGGGTGAGAATAAAATTTATTTTGGCATGTGCAGAAACATAAATTTTAAATCCCCCAGTAATATTAGGTTTGTGTCCATAGAGAAATCTGTGCATAACAGTTTCTCATCCAGGAATATGGTATTTTATATCTCTCCTCAGTGCTACAGTGTAGTGACCATATGCAACTTGTTAACAATTGTATTAATATTGTCAAATGTAGGGGTGACTATACTTGTAGACAAGGTCTGAATTAGTGAATGGAAGTGACTTAATACATGATTCATAACTATAAGGAATTGCAGCACCACTGCTGATCTCCACAATTTACAAATCACCACAGCACCAATTAACCCTTCTTCCAGCCTGCTGTCTACACCAGCTGTTGTCTGGCAACGGCTTCTAACAGTGGAAATTCTTCAGCCTCATTCACTCGGGTCCTCTCTTCACAGCCTCCCATGCAGAACTAAAGTGAACTCACTCAGCTTCAAGTCTCCCAGTTATAATATCTCAGCACGGACCACATAGAAAACTTTCTTCTATCATGGTGTGTGTGTATGTTGGAGGTGCTACCTGGCAATGGTCACTATTTACAGAGTCATGCTTAGTACCGGGTCTATACACTACAGTATTTTGTGAACACACTGCTTGGCAAGCTGTAATGTGCACATGTATATGGCTGACAAGGTTACTAATATTTCCCATCCCTGGTCTACATTATACAGTGCTGAACAAAAAAAAAATACAGAATGAGCAGATATAGTGAGTTAGGAAGGATGTTGGAGAACATGAAGAATCATGTATCTGAAGGTAAAACATAAAGTTGTCCCTGTGCTCAACTAATTAAGCACTACACCATGAAGGAGTATGGGGGAGTGGATGTATAAATCCAGATTTTCTTAACCTTGGCACTAGTTGGTGGTGAGTGGTCAGATTCATGCCCTGGCCACTTTAGCCCCCAGGAAAGAGCACCGGGACCCATTGGATAGGTGGTCAGGTGGACCCTAGAGCTAGTCTAGCCCATAGACAGTCACTATACCAAGTCACCTTATCCCAGCTCCTGTATCTGAAGGTACCATGATGTAGAAAACCATAAAACAACTGTGACACCTTAGACACAACATGAACCACATTCAGAAGACCAAAAGAACAATACCATCCAGAGTCATACCTCAGTTGGTAACATGAGGCTAGTAGTGCCACTGTCTAGAATTGTCTTGTCTGTATTGAACTTGCGGCAAGGAAGGTCAATTGTCTGGTTACCAATGCTGATTCCAAGCAATAACAGTTCATAAAACCACTCTCTCACGATGGGTGACGTCCACAGCTCTGTTCTTTCTATCCCAGTTTCTGGAACACACAATGGCACACTCTGATGACGTAGAGACAGACTGGATTGGAGTTTGGGCAGTCATTAAGCCAAACCAAGCCTCTTACCTAATATCTCAAACAATCCCGTCTGTCTGTTTCCTCCATCCTGAGACCCACAGAGCTCTAGAGCAAAGGCAACACTCTGATGGTTCTTCAAATGCTGGATTGCCTGAAGCCATGACACAACACCGTGATCAGGTCGTGCAATCACAGGGTATGCTAACCCCAAAATACCCTGAAATCAACACAGTCTCCTGTGACAAATCATGTTTCTCAAGAAATCTTACAGTGCTGTACATCAAATTCTGGAGAGAAACATCTTTTGCAGGCAACTTCCTGTCACCTAAACAGTTCACATACTCTTGTGTATTCTTATTTATGAAATTATGTTTTAAAATACTGGCTGAAGTAACAGCAGCAGCCAGTTAGGACTGAATGATGATGCTGAGTAGTCAATGTTTGGTTACAAATAGGCTAGATAGGGATTTAACCCCGTGGTATGAAGAACTGCTTCAGAGAGAAGGCACCAGAACACACGGAAAGGGCTGTACATGACCCACAGGCTGCCGGCTTGACATGTATGCTTAATGACTGAGCTTCCCTAACTAAGAACATGAAATTCTTATATATGGATTTGTCCTCAATTCTCCGGTAGATAGTGATTCAATTATCACATAAAAACAGCACATTTCAGGTCAGACATTTGTATCATTGCCAGTACTATTACTGCCTGAATCCTGAGCAAACAACACACTTGCTGAAGAGTACAGTCCTCTGGATTGTAATGCCATATCTTTCAGACACAACCCAATGTTCAAATGAAACATCAGGCTCACCTGAAACTACAAGTTGCTAGAACCAAGAAGTCTCCACATTGAGAACCTCAAATCTGACAGTTACTGATTTTGTCAACATAGAGCAACTGTGTAACCGCACTCTCTGGACTCGTTGCGATGTCTTCGGTGGAAGCACCTCTTCTTCAACTGCTCTTCCTCACCCTCTCCTTCTCCTCTTGTTGATGATGCCACCTACCTTTTTATTTCATCTTAATTTATTTTCTCAGGGTTGGATTAAACTTCTCAGGGTTGATATGATTAACAAGGGTGAGGTTGTTGGGAGCGGTAGAGCCGAGTTCTCTGTCTCAAGGTCTTAACAGGTCACACTTAGAAAGGCAGGTAGGACACTTTTATGCAACACCCCCACACTTGAATTTCAGAGGTATTATTATTACTCTTGATCAGTTGCGACACTTTCATTTTACAATTTATCAACACTTGTTACTGTTCGACTGTTTGCCACATTCTAAATTTAGCTCGTCCTGTTTAATATTGTTATTATACTTCTGCCCGTGGTTTCACACTTCACAACAGATTATTACACTTTATCATTACAGCTTGTTACTACAAAGTTACTTCTGATCTAGATAGCCCCGTATGTGACTTCACGTCTGGTCCTTTCGAGTCCCGTTTCCGACTTCACGTCTGGTTCTTTCGACTCCCGGTTTTTGACTGACGCTGAAAAATGACACTTCCGTGGACATTCAATTCCTGGCTTTCACCAGCGTCCTTGTTCTGTCACATACTCAAATTTCCGTGATTGGTCAGTTTAAAATTTAGAGGTATTCTAATTAGACATTCCTCCAATCACTTTAACTCTTACAAAGGGGTGAAGAAATTCTGTCTTAACGAACTCCTGTCAAAAAAGTGACGAATGTGTACCGTGGCTTGGGTCGTAAACCCATAACCCTGCTAAAATATATAGCTTGTAGAAAATTGTCAACTAAAGAACTCACAAAGACTTCTGTAGCCTTTCTTTACGTAACTTTCTCTTAATAAATCTTCAACGGGTATCTTCCTGCTTTTGGTGTAAGCGTGGGAAGACTTAAATACAAGAATTGACCTAAGTCTCACTACACTTGTTCATGTCCTTACATTCAACAATTAAATTTAAAATTAATAACATAAATCATATTTAAATAGGCAGCACGGCACTGGAACGGTTACAACTGCTGATAGCTTGTAAAATACACCAGTTCTCTAATGTGAATAATTAAACTGACAACATAGTGTGCAGTCTCTCAACAACTGACACCTAAGCGAAGTGAAGCAAAAATAAGAACTGCCATGCAGTTAGTTCACATGATCATACAGACTCCAGCCGAACTCATACTACGTTAAATACCATCAAACATACAATTTCTGAACAGGAAATGAATGTAATATATGTAATATTATTTCATTTGTCACATCGACCTGTGGAATAACTTTCTGGTAAGTGATAAAATATTCATCATTAACTTTGGGCTCAAATTTTAATTAAAAATCTCCACAGCAAAGCCCATGCACTAGACAAAAAATCCCTGCAAAAGGAACTCTATGGCAATTCAAGCGGCATGGGAAAGTCACACCTGCCACTGGGAACCATTCATGTAGAAGTTGTGGGATGTTTTTATAACAGCAATGTCACATCTCACTTGTGGAGCAAGCAGGGACGGGAAGTACACCATATCATTTCCCAACTCTCCATCCCAGAAACCCTGCGTGTACAAGACAGAGACCTTCTTCTGGTGCGATGTGTATGTACTGGAACTGAAACACATTAAAATCAGACTTTTGAACCTGCCCTGTGCTCTGTGTTGTAAAGGATAACACAGGTCTGCAAAAAATATTTTTTTTTCAGCTGCATGGAATATTTTCGATAAACTTTATGTTTTCTAGGATGCTGAATCCAAAAATGACCTCAATTTCCCCCTATCACGTACCGTTTTTTTTTTGGAAAATAATAGGGGTTTACAATAAAAAATCATAACAGTGATGAAAAAATCACTAATTTTATTACATTGAACTAAACATATTATTTCTCATAATTAAACAAACAATTCCTTCACGATATATTTAACATTCAGTGTTCAGTCTTTTTGCCTGTGAAACCTTTTCGTCTTCTCTTTGATGCTCCTCCGAACACGCTTTCGCTTTCCATTTTCCATTTCCCACTTGATCATCCAGTAGTAGTCAGCTAGCATATTCGCATTCCATCTTCCTTGGTAGCGTCTTTCGATATCACGGACATCCTGATGAGATCGTTCACCCTGCTCTTCACTATAGGCTCCCAAGTTTTCGGGAAAATAGTCGACATGGGAGTGTAAGAAATGAACTTTTAAGCTCATCTTGCA